GAACGCATATCTATTTACAGGAAATGAGGATTCTACTTATTCTGGCCTTGTTAGTTGGTCTCAGCCATGCCTCATTTTGCGGCTCGTCTGCAATTCCTTACAGTTTCGAAGTGAGAAATACTTTCAAGGCACTCAATTGTTGTACTTCTCCCTATTCCGCCTTCTCTTTAAGGCTCTTCCCGATGGTCAGCCCGTGCTCGGCTGTGCACGCCCTGTATGCTTTGGATGGAACGAAAAGGGTCAACCCGCTACAGACGATGGAGGCTTCTATAGGTTAGCAAAAGCATTGTTACCTATTATATGAAACTCTGATTTGCAGTATTATATACATGTTTCGCATATTTCCCAGCAATAATTCTAGCAAATGATTGCGAATCTTTCTCGTTATGAATTTGTGGTTAAATTGAAATTTAGCCATTATTGATATTTTCGGATATCAAAAATATATCCCTTGAGGTATACATCTGATTACACCTCCTGAAAGTGAAAGTTTGGCTATTTGTGCGGTGCTCATAGCTAGAATACATTTCAAGTACCGGATAAACAAATCTGTTATTCGTTGCAGCGAATAGACTTGTTTGACAAATTGGTTCGTTGAATGAAAGCACCTGCTTTTGGAGTATTCTCGATGTATTTATGATTAGATTCTGAGAAGAACCAAAGAAAAAGGTCGTAACATGGAAGGCTATACCCAGGTTAAAGAAGATTAGCAGACAAAGGAAAATTTCAGAATCAGCAAATTCCCTGATGGATTTATGCGAAAAGACGATATATCAGTTCCTCCATACCAAAAACAAGATCCTCGATTTTTCCAGCAGCAAGTTGCGGTAAGCAGCTTTCCGATTACGATTTGCTGAACACTATGTTACAATTGAATTTCTTTTCCAACTTTCCATGTTTTCTATAAAACAACCTTAAAAATGAGTCACCGATTTCTGTATTCCACGATCTCATAGAACTCCGCAACATCCTTTACTACTGCTAATGCAAATTTCATACATTCCAGGATTGCGAGCCCACATTCCAATCTCAGTCGTGTGAAGGTGATAATCAATGGACCGGTGGAATTGCCCCTCTTCTCAACGTATCAGCTTTTCCGTAAGTCTGATTTGTGAAATATGTGAAGCAAAATTCTTCAAAATTTCAATTTTTTCCTTAGAATTGTCATGCAATGCTGTACTTTTGAACCTCTACGTCTTTCTACCGACCGAGGGGTTGCTGTCGTTAAACGTGGTCAGATTGTTATTGGAGGAGAGGT